TGTATATGGAGATGCGAGCAGTATTTATATATTCAAGCTCAAAAGACCATTCAAACACTACAAATAAGAAGCAGGGATAACACGGAGGTATCAAGTTACAAGGCATGCTGTCATGTATATATCTTTCAAAACTTACTTTTTCAAAAATCTTTTCTTTTGACTATTTGAAACTCTTCTGTAAAGAATTTAATAGCCATTCTCTGTAACCACTTAAACTTTGTTGCCACGCATGGTCACCGATTTTGATGAATCTTCACCCATGCTTAGTACTTGACACCAGAAACAAATATCAAACAAAATTTCGTTGCTATGTGTCTCGGTTGCTATGGCAACAGCCGGAAAAGTTTGAAAAATCAAGATTTTCAACCATTTTAAATCTTGACTGTGGCTTAATAAAAACTAGAAAAAGCAAACAAACCATTCTAACAAAAACATGACACCTTGATGTCACTTATACTGTAAAGAAACTGTTTATAATATATCTCTAAGTAAGTGGTAACCAAGGGTACATTTGGAATACATTTAAAATGCTGAAATATGCTGAAAAACACTCCGTATTCACTAATGGTAGGTGTTACATGCTCAAACTCAATCAACGACTTAAGAAAAGCAATGAAAATGTTTGACCTTAAGTATATAAGTGTAAGCAATATTATTCTGTAAATAACTTTTATGGTTACCATGGTAACACAGTGTAACCATGCAAAACCAGTAACTAAGATTGGGTTAATGCTACTGTCTTGAGGAAAAATGAAAATTCAAGACTGGCAAATGTGCATCCTTAGGACCTTGCAACACTAAAACCATAAGAAAAATTGGGTATAATTGCTACTTTGCAGTGTTACCATGGAAACAAAGTACCAGTGCTTAAAAGTGAATTATTTTTCGCTGCATTAAGAATTAAATTGCCATTTAATCAAGAAACAAATTAAAGGACTCAGCTTGAATAGTACTTATCTGTTAGAACTGAAGTTGAATATCATATGTTGATAAAATTTGATGAAGAAAACAACACTGTTGCTATGGTTACCAAGAAGGGAAAATGTTCGATTTTGTGAATTTTATATCAGTATTAACCCTGTGTGCCAACTTCTTGCATCCACTTAGAGATTGGATGATAGTCAAAATTAAAAGGCAGGTTAGCTGTTAATAAATATCAATCATAAAAGTTTTGGGAATCTACATTTAAGGGTACGTATCCAAGGAAAGAAAATATTTTTCAGGTTTTTAAGCATATATTTTCTGCTTATTTCCATAGCAACGCTCTATTTAAAGAATCTAATCTGAATTTTTTCAAATGGGAAAAATAGGAGCACACCAACATCTTTAAAAATTGATCATTAGTTATGAGGAAAAGTGCTTTTTTAAAAGATAGGATCAGATTTAAACATACAGAGTGTTACTTTGACGACTCTCTGTGGTATAATAACCTTGGCAACCATTGCCAACCAAAATAAAATATCATATTTTGTTCTTGGTATGTGATTCAAGGCTCTTTTTTCTATTATTTGGTCACAATTCATCCTATAATTGCTTTTTATTTTTACGTGTATGACTTCATAAAATTAAATGAATATTTTTTTTTACTTTTGAATACATTGTTACCATAGTAACGTATGTAATAGTTGATTTACCAAAGATGTTTATCATGCATTTGAGACATCTGACCTTCAACTTTTGGAAACAATCATTGCCAATTGTTTGCTTTGTCGCAAACGTTATCTATGGGGCTCTAAACATGTTAAAAAATGCCATTTTTCGTACTTTTAGACATGTTGCCATGGTAACTATAAAACATAGCAACCAATTTTTGCCTGATTTCAGTTTAGGGTATCAATGACTTTTATTATAGAGAGTTTGGAGAAATTTTGAGACTATGCGTGCCACAGCTCCTATATAAAATTTCAAATCATTACAGAGAATGGCTCTTAATAATAAGTTCCCTGAAGAACGAAATCAAGAGGCACACGACAATTATATTCAACTAAAGGAGCATTTACTACCAAAGGACTTAAAACCAAACCCTTAATTAATACGTATATCGTAAACTACAGGGTACTGCAGTAAAATCTACAGCATTGCCATCAGATTTATTAAAGATATAAAACATGTCAGAAAGGGTTCTTAACCAAAATACTTTCTATCAAACTACCGGTATATATATGTTCACAGAAACCATGAGCTGAGTCTTTTTCATACTAAGGGACCAGGCAAAATTTATCACAATGATGGGACCAGTACAAAACAAAATCCTCATTTTAAAAAAGTACGTGTCCCATGGCATTGGTATTTAAAAAAAATATCTGCCCCATGCCTTGAGACTTATAATAAAAGTTATTGTCCTACGGTTACATTTTGGTGTTAGTGAGATAATTGGATCAAACTTAAGGTAGTACAAAACACCACTGTATTCTACTTTAACTCATTTCTTAAAAAGTACTGGAGAAAAAAAGAACAATATCACTATATTGACAACAATGAATGATCCCTGTTTGAAAAATAACAAGTGTTGGCATGTTTGCGTCATATTTTGTGGAAAAAATCAGAGAATCCCATATTTTGGTCACTTGGAAGCTTACATTTTGGAATGTGTTTACACTATCTAAGTGAAATAAACAAGCATGTAACAGTCTGTAATAAAATGCAGTGTAACTTTTGTTCCATAAATAGTAGAGGGCTGATATTTGGACATATACATATATATATATATGGAGTCTCCTGTTTTTATGTACTATAAAGGTCAAGGTCATATCAAGAGGTGAAAGGTCAAATATTGTGACATCATCTACTGCATCTTTTAGTTTTTTTGCCATTGAAATTTTTTAATCGCCAAAATATCTTGAACCACTGGTTCAATTTTCTTTATTTTTACATATTTTATTTTGGGACCTATTTTTATCATTCTGTAAATTTTTTGCAAAAATTGAATTATACATTTTTGCTTAAGAAAACTTAAAGTGTAGGATATTTACATGTGAATTTTCAATTCCGACGCTATGTATATGTTCTATTTTTACTTGATATTTTACTCAAATGGTCCAGTATCAATATGACTTACTGAGTTAAAGTAGCAAAAAGGTTATTTTTATACAAATTATAAAATAAATTTTTAATAGATCAATCGATAATTCTAAAATAAGGCTCATTCTCAAGTCAAATGTCTGATTTCACGATCTTCTTACAGGGGTCTGATAGACCATATTTCAGACTATGTTGACAAAACATGTGTGGTTGAATTTCTTTCATTATTTATATAGAGAAAGATTTTTTATCCTATAACAAAATATCAAAGTTTCAGAAAAATTGAATTAGAGGAAAAATTTGGCCTATCTATTGTGTCCTACCTTAAGGAGTCTCTCAGACTTCAGATATTTCAAACATCGAAAAAAATGTTTTTTTTTGTTTGCTCATTTTCATCTGTTGTAATATTTTCCATTAAAAGATTTATGTTGCCATTTGTATCCTTCACTACAGTTTCAAAGATATGATTTTTTTTCTCGATTTAAAAAAAAAAATAAAATGAATATTTCTCTTGGGTTAAGTACGCTAATTAAGTCATTGAAAACAAAATTGTGTCCCATGGGTACTTAATGCTAACAATGTTTTTGTCCCATGGTTTTCTTCGACGAAAAAACTCATTGCATGCCTCATGTCCGTTTGTACCGGTCCAATCATTGTGATAAATTTTGCCTGGTCCCTAAACTACATTTTACTAAACCCAACTTTCACAATTTTTAAAAGCAATAAACTAAGTCGACAGCAATTTGAAGTTCCAACTGGGAATACCAAAAACTAATTTATCTAGTCAAATACTTACTGACGTTTTTCATACTAATGGTTAGGCCATTATATTTACACTGGATTGTCAACGATTTTTCCCCGTTATTTCTCGATCATGACAGGGAGCACGCGACGGGATTGTACGGTCGGCAGGGGAGGCTCACTCCTCCATATGGCACCTGATCCCACCTCTGATGTTTTGGAGGTCCGTTTTTGCTTTAACTCCTATTTTCTATTGTTTAATGGACTTTTGATCTTGAATACTGTTCGTTATCTTCATATATTTCATTTTCTTATAAACTTGACTACGGAGTGTTCTGTAGAAATTTTCGGGAGTCCTTCTTTTATGTCACTTTCATAGATTTGAATATTATTTGAACACGTAATTATTTTTTACATCGATCACGGTTCGTTATCTTAACATTAAACTTTATTAAGTACTTGAATATTGGTTTATTGATGAATTATTTACAGTAATTATGATTTAGCAAGGGGGGTTGGTCTGACTTAGTATTCAGAGAAAATGCGGGAAAATACAATTCTGCCAACTGGTTCTTCAATTAAGAAATGGAACTTGGAAATGTTTGTATCTTGTTATTAGTCGTCATTAAAACTAGACAGTGCTATGATTTTACACAAAAGTAACCCGAAGTTGATATGAATAAGTTATCTTCACCACTTTTCTGGTATATATTAAAAATTGTCAAATTTGAAATCAAAATTTATAAAAATTTATAAAAATTGCGATAGTATATGTATGGGTTAAAGGGAAGCCTCAGGAAGACATATATGGCACAGAAAAGCAGCTACATGTAAAGAGAATATTGTATATTATATTTATTCCGACATATGATCCAGGGAATATATATAATTTTCTTTTTAGATTTTTTTAGAATTGAAAATGGGATGGTGGGGAAGCCAGAGAGAAAAATTTTTAAAACAAAACAAAGCAAAAATAAAAAAAAAAAAAAGAAGAAGAAGAAGAAGAAAGAAAAAGGAAGTATGTCCAAACTTTAAAACCCTTCAGTCAAGGATTACAACCACCAAGGGTTACCCCCTCCCCCGCCCCTATTGCAACGTGCCTGTTTTTATGTTTAACAGGAACCATAAGATGTTAAGACAGGTGTAAAAAAAAATTGTTCAAAATTTGCCGCTTTTTCGATTTTAGTGCGTATTATCACTTTCTTTTGGCCTATTTCCGTTTTTGTGTTCCGGTCATTAGATGTAAAGCAGGAAGATGAAGTGTAAGTTAGATTTTATATAAACATGTACTTAGTATATGTAATACAGCATTAATTACTTCCCATATGTTTTTAAAATTTTAATCGTGAATGGCACTATCTCTCTTTTATTTTTTTTATTTTTTCACGGTAGGCCTATTGCATAAATAATGTAAATATAGACGTCGACGGTGCCGAGTCCGTTTGCTCACAAACCAATTTTGTACAATATTTACTGAGAGCTAGTCCACTGAATTTCAGTTACGAGGAGAGGGTTGTGTAATTTAAATATTTCAGGGTCTCACTAAATTACAGATAGGTTGTGCTCCTCTTTTTAATCAAAATATTTTATTGAGGGAATCCTAAAGTATTAAAGAAAACATTCTATATAGTACACACTGCTTGAAATCAAGCATATTCGTTCATGTAACCCATGTTTTGTTTGTTTGCATGCTTGCTTGTTAAACGTTCCTTTTAAATATTGAGACTAGCAGCGTGTAAGCATTCAAATATCCAAGTGCATCAAAACATAGTTGAATATACTTTGATCTTTGCTTTTTTTCTTAAATTATTTGTTCAAAACTCTAATTTTAGATACAATTTGTCCTTCATAACAACTCCAATGGCAGCGGCTGATTCGTTTGACCAAGACATCGTATTTGCTCAAGACCTTATAAAGTGTACCCTTTGCAGCAACAGTGTAGAACTTTACTGTAAACCATGCGGCCTCAATATATGTGGAGGCTGTGCAGGAAGGCATATGTTATCTACACCCGAAAAGAAACACGATATTGTAAAATACGATAAAAAGTATCTGACTAGTCCAAAACCTTCATGTCCAAGTCATGAAGACCAAATCTGCGAGCTCTTTTGTGAAAAATGTAATATCGCTGTCTGTGCAAAATGCATATCTAGTAAGGCTCATTATAACCACAGCATCGTTGAAATTTCAGTTGTCTTCAAGCAAAAGGTTAATTTCATAATTCAAGAAACGAAATCGTTAGAAGAAAAAATTGCCCCTGAGTATGAGAAAATTCCTAAAGACTTAGATGGGAAGGTGAAAGCCTTGATTAATAGTAATACATTACTAAAGAAAGAAATTACAAGTTATGGTGAAGAATTGCAGAAACAAATCAAAGAAACAGTCAATAAATATGTGGACCAAATTGAAACGATGGAAAAACAGGACATTGCTGACTTGAGAAATAGCATTTCTAGATTCCAGAATATTACAGGGGAAGTCAATCATGCCATTCAACAAAACAAAGAAGTGTTGAAAGCCAACGATGTTCAGATATTCGATTATCAGTCTGTTATAAAAAAGTTTCAGAAAGTTCCACCTCGTATTAACGTGACGCCGCCTTGTTTTAAACCTAGTCTTGACAAAGGAAAACTTTTTGAAAACATTGGAATGTTATCTGTATCGACTAAAAAGCAGGAAGATGAATATTTAATTCAGTTGACGGATAGCTCCGGGGCTGTGTTACCCATGGCCAGGTCTTATTTCAGGGAGCTTCTCCCAAGACCCATGATTATTGCAACAGTAGAATGTAACTATAAAGAGTTGTACAAAATCAGTTGCGTTTCCAAGGAAGAAGCTTGGATAAGTGGCAACGACAAAACGATGACAAGATTCAACAAAGCAGGATCGGTCCTTGAGGTGATGAAAACCAAGTCTGGACGCTCAACCAATGGTATTGCTGTAACGAAAACTGGGAACCTTTTGTATGCAGATTGTTACGGTAGAAAGATTGAAATGGTGAAGAAAGGGAAAGTAAAGTCGATAATCAAAACTGAATGGAAGCCAACAGAGGTTAGCTGTACACCTACTGGAGACATCTTAGTCTCGTTGTGGAATGACAAGCCCATGGACAACAAACTATTGAAGGTTCAAAAGTATTCTGGGGATTCATTTGAGCTGAAGCAAGAGATCCAGTTTGATGAGAATGATAAATCGCTTTTCCGATGTGCAGGGGATCATACAGCACTTGTCACTGCTGAAAACAGGAATGGAGACATCTGTATAGCAGACTGGAATGCTGGATCCTTGCTTATATTGGATAAAAGTGGCAAATTGAAGACGACTTACACTGGCTTTCAGGGCAAGGTATTTGATCCTAGGTATGTGGCCACAGACAGTCACGGTCACATTCTAGTCTCGGACTATGACAGCAACTGTGTACATATTCTCAATGAGTCTGGTCATCTCGTCTCTCTGATTGAGTATCTCAGAAAACCCGAGGGTATAGACGTCGATGATGATAATAACCTGTGGTTGGTGGAAAGAGAAGGAAAACTTAAAATCATCAAATACATGGAGTAGATCCTGGATTAGTGAGTTCATTAGCAGTGTGATTGCTTTCATGCCATTATTTCCAAATGTAGTGGGTAATGACATCATGAATTGCAATAGGGAATAACTGTGCTTCTTTATCGGCCGACCTGTTTTTATTTAATCATAAAGTAGATTTTATTTGAAATAAAACTAATTGAGAAAAGCATGTTGTGGCCTTCAGTTAATTTGAAATTTTATCGGATGAAATGCAGATCGTCGACATCTTGTCGATTAACAATTATATTAATAATTGTATATTCCATTTCAATGTAGACTCGATTTATTGAAATACAAGACATCCCAGTGAAATATAATAAATGGAGATAACTACATGCACCAGTATTTAAGCTTAAAAGTCCATTAAACTTTACACTGTCAAATTGTGTAGCAGAGCAACAACGGATCTCTAAAACATCAGAGGTGGGATCAGGTTCCATGGAGGAGTGAGCATCCCCAGCCAACAGGTCACACCTGTCGTGTGCTCCATGTCTTGATCGGGAAATAACGGGAAAATTCAGTCTGTAAATAATGGTCTACCAATTAGTATGAAAAAGCCGGTCAGCATTTGATTTAATGATGAATTGTATTTGCTGACATGGTCACTGTATCGACCATAGAACTTACGAAATGATGATTTTAAACGAAACTGCTGATATTCTTGTTTCATCAACTTGTTTGTCAATAACCTACCTAGTTTTAGAAAGTGTGCTCTTGCGTTTCGAATCAACTGAGAGATATAAACTCATAATGCAGGTGAGAAAGGTATATTGCTGCATAACTAAGGAAAGTTGACGGTTGCAAAGTTAAAGTTATCAAGTTTATCAAAAAGATTTGTAAGATAACCATCAACGTCTTTTTCTGATTAAATATTCAACTATGAATATGAAACAGACTCTGTGATATCCTTTTTTTCAAACTCACTGAGATCAATCATATTGACATAAGAATGGAATTAGCCATTGTTAATTGACAATACGTCGTCGATATATCTAAAAGTGGCAGGCAACAGCAAATTTTTTTTCTTCTTTTGTATTTTAGAAGAACTTGGATTTAATTCTAAAGTGGTAATCCAACTTATACCCATAGTTCCTTTTCTATGGAAGAAATTCTTCAAAATCATATGTCAGTTTTGAATACTGGTATTTAGCTCACCTGAGCCAAAGGCTCAAGTGAGCTTTTCTGATCAAAATTTGTCCGTTGTCTGTCGTCGTCGTCGTCGTTGTAAACTTTTCACATTTTCGACTTCTTCTCAAGAACCACTGGGCCAATTTCAACCAAACTTGGCACAAAGTATCCTTAGGTAAAGGGGATTCAAGTTTGTTCAAATGAAGGGCCACGCCCTTATTCAAGGGGAACAATTAAGAAATAATGAAAATTTGATGGTATGTTTTAAAAATCTTCTTCTCAAGAACCACTGTTCCAGAAAAAATGAAACTTACAGGGAAGCATTCTCAGGTAGTGTAGATTCAAGTTTGTTCAAATCATGACCCCCGGGGATAAGGTGGGGCCACAATGGCCGATCAAAGTTTTACATAGAAATATATAGGAAAATTCTTTAAAAATCTTCTTCTCAAGAACCACTGTGCCAGGAAAGATGAAACTTATAGGGAAGCATCCTCAGGTAGTGTAGATCCAAGTTTGTTCAAATCATGACCCCCGGGGATAGGATGGGGCCACAATGGCTGATCAAAGTTTTACGTAGAAATATATTGGAAAATTCTTAAAAATCTTCTTCTCAAGAACTACTGTGCCAGGAAAGATGAAACTTATGGGGAAACATCCTCAGGTACATGTAGTGTAGATTCAAGTTTGTTCAAATCATGACCCCCGGGGATAGGGCGGGGCCACAATGGCTGATCAAAGTTTTACATAGAAATATATTGGAAAATTCTTAAAAATCTTCTTCTCAAGAACTACTGTGCCAGGAAAGATGAAACTTATAGGGAAGCATCCTAAGGTAGTGTAGATTCAAGTTTGTTCACATAATGACCCCCGGGGATAGGGTGGGGCCACAATGGCTGATCAAAGTTTTACATAGAAATATATTGGAAAATTCTTTAAAAATCTTCTTCTCAAGAACTACTGTGCAGGAAAGATGACACTTATGTGGAAAGCATCCTCAGATAGTGTAGATTCAAGTTTGTTCACATAATGACCCCCGGGGATAGGGTGGGGCCACAATGGCTGATCAAAGTTTTACATAGAAATGTATTGGAAAATTCTTAAAAAATCTTCTTCTCAAGAACCACTGTGCCAGGAAAGATGAAACTTATAGGGAGGCATCCTCAGGTAGTGTAGATTCAAATTTGTTCAAATCATGACCCCCGGGGGTAGGGCGGGGTCACAATGGCCGATCAAAGTTTTACATAGGAATATATAGGATAAATCTTTAAAAATCTTCTTCTCAAGAACCACTGTGCCAGGAAAGATGAAACTCATGTGGAATCATCCTCAGGTAGTGTAGATTCAAGTTTGTTGAAATCATGACCCCGGGGGGTAGGGTGGGGCCAAAATGGCTGATCAACGTTTTTCAAAATAATATATAGGGAAATCTTTTAAAATCTCCTTCTCAAGTACTTCAAAGCCATGATTAATGATATTTATATGAAATCATCCTCAGGTAGTGTAGATTCAAGTTTGTTCAAATCATGATCCCCTAGGGGGGTAAGATTTAAGCCCCCCCCCTCCAAACTCAGTAAACTTTCATTTCTTATCTGATATTTGCTTTCTCCTAGCCGGTGTGCTCAGGTGAGCGCTGTGGCCCCTGGGCCTCTTGTTTTAATATCCCAATAACCAAAATGAATTTAAACTACTATACCGGGTATTTATATTGGATTCTGAAACTTGATAAGAATCCGTACAAACAAAGATACATAGCAGGTTCCCGTTTATGTTCAACCAATATTTTTTGCGAATGCAATGCATGCGAAAATTCGCTTAAAATTCATCTATCTTTCTTTACTCCTCACTAAGATAATACCAGTGCAGTAGTTAAGGAGAAACTTCAAGAGTACTGTGCAACAATATATTCAAGAAATGGTGTAAATCAGATGTGGATACTTAAAATTCCAAGGAACTTTTGGACAATTTGATATCACAAGATTTTACCAAAATTAAAAGCTTAAAACTTACGACTTTTCAACTTTATACAAAACTATTCCCCACAATAAATTAAAGTCCAGGCTTTTTGATATTATTGACAGCTGCTTTTTTAATAGAAATGGAACTCTTAAATTTATTTGCCTTGTCATTGGTCATTTGCAAAATTATTTTGTAAAAAAAACATTCTGATTGTACACACAAGTACAAGTGAAAAAGACATTAATGGTAATCTAACAACCAAGCTCTATGATAAACATGATGACTTTAACTTTTCTATCATCAACTTCTCTTACTTATGCAGCAATATACCTTCATCAACTGGCCTGCAGACCATAAAACTTAGACGAGCTCACTTTTGATCTCAGTCTCACTTTTCCATGCACTCTTTATTCCTTTGGAAAAAGTGAGACTGAGATCAAAAGTGAGCTCGTCTAAGTTTTATGGCCCCCAGGCATGCATACGGAGTTTACATATCTCAGTTGAGTAGATACGCAAGAGCATGCTCTACGTATGAACAATTTCTACAATGAGGTAAATCATTGACAAACAAGTTGATGAAACAAGAATATCAGCAGTCTCGTCATCATTTTGTAAGTTCTATGGTCGATACAATGACCTTACCAGCAAATACAATTTATCATTGAGTCAAATGCTGACTGACGTGTTTCATACTAATTGGTAGTCCATTATCTAAACTATGAATTTACGACGAATTGACAACAATGACTTTTTCCGTTATTTCCCGATCATGATAAGGAGCACACGGCGGGTTTGACCGGTCGGGAGGGGATGCTCACTCCTCCATATGTCACCTGATCCCACCTCTAATTCCGTGTTTGCTCTGCTCCTATTTTGTATTGTTTTATGGACTTTTGATCTTGAATACTGTTCGATATCTCTATATGTTTGATTTCACGTATTTTAAACAAATTTTAAACAAATTTTGTTTCATATTAATACACAACAAGCAAATTCAAAGAATTGTGGTCCCTCGCTTACGGTGTCTTTGTGGATGAGATGTCATTTTTTTATGACACATTGTGTCTAATATGAACACCCTATCATATGTCATTTATTTAGAAATGATCACGTACTGAAGTTGATTTTTTTTAAAAAATAAGGTCAGCTGTGAAGGTCAAGGTCAAGGGGTAAGAATTCATAGCATGCTCGGAAATATCTTGTCACAGGTAATGCACATGTCAAATATGAAAGTCCTATCTCTTCTCAATATAAGGAACAAGATGTGTTTGTGAAACACAGATGACCTCGTATGGCAACATAACAAAGATTTAACATTTCTTAATTCAAATGAAATATATTTGATATTACCCAAAGTAGGGTTTTCAGACAAGAAATACATTTGTGAAATACAAAATCCCACCCCCCCCTTTTCAAAAGAAAGTTATGGCCAAGGATACATTTTTGAAAGAAAGGTCAAACTCCAAGGTGAAAGGATCTGAGTTGTTGATTTCTTTAAAAAGGTCACAAGTAATACATATGTGAAGGATGAAAACCCTAACCTTAACCGTTCAATAGTTATGACCAAGGTAAAAGTTTTGGAAAAGTAAGTCAATCTCCAAGGTCAAGGTCAAAGGGTCAAAGTTCTTGGTATCCAATGAAAGGTCTTCTCATCAGGATTACATATGTGAAGTACGAAAGCCTTAGCCCTTACCGTTCAAATTTTATGGTCAAGGTTAAACTATTTTTTTTCAAAAGAACGGAAATCTCCAAGGTCAAAGTCAAAATGTAAGAATGGTTGGTATCCAATGAAAGGCCTTGCCACAAAAAATACATATATGAAGTATGTAAGTCCCAGTTTCTACCATTCAAAATATATGGTCAAGGTTAAAGTCTTTTCATAAGTACGGAAATCTCCAAGGTCAAAAGGTCAAAGTTGTTGGTATCCAATGAAAGGTCTTGCGACAAAAAATACATGTGTGCAAAAATATGAAGTCCTACATGTAGTATCTACCGTTCAAAAGTTGTGGCCATGGTCAAAGTTTTTGAAAATTAGGTCAATCTCCATGATCAAGCTCAAAGGGTCAAAGTTCTTGGTATCCAATGAAAGGTCTTTTCACAAGGATTACATATGTGAAGTACAATA